TCTTCTTTTTTTATCTGTTTGCTTCTCGATTGTCTCCATCCTTTATTCGTGTCTTTCTTTCTTCTGTCTCCTTTTATTTGTTGTTTGTCTCCTTCACTGATTTGTGATTTGTCTCCGTATGCTGTTGCTGCTGCTGCTGCTGCTGCTGCTGCTGCTGCTGCTGCAGGTCCGTGTCAGCTGCCGCTGAAGGTGATGGAGGATCTGCAGCGGGGGCTCGTCGATCACAACGGATGGGGGATCAGCGTCATGGAGATGGTCTGCTGCTGCTGCTGCTGCTGCTGCTGTTGCTGCTGCTGCTGCTGCTGCTGTTGCTGCTGCTCCTGATATTGTTGCTTCTGCTGCTGATGTTGTTTTTGCTGTTGTTGTAGCTATCGCTGCAGCTGTTGCAGCGATTGCTATTCCTAATACCGTTACTACTTCAATGCTGTTATGCTGTATGCTGTTGCTGCTGTTGCTGCTGCTGCTGCTGCTGCTGCTGCTGCTGCTGCTGCTGCAGAGTCACCGGGGTAGTCACTTCAAGAAAGTGTTGGAGGAGGCTAGCGCAGCAGCAATTCGTTTTTTAGAAATTCCTGCATCTCATTGTCTGCTGTTTATGGCGGGGGGCGCCACCGCTCAGTTTGCTGCTGAGGCTCTCAACCTGATGACGCCTGATCTTAATAACGCAGACTACGCTGTCACAGGGTTGCTCACACGAAACCCTAAACCCTAAACCCTAAACCCTAAACCCTTGGGGGGAGAACGTTGTGCTCGGCTTTATTGCATCACCGCACATGCACCACATATAGAGGGGTCTCAATTTCCATATCCTAAAAACTCTAAACCCTAAACCCTAGCTCTAGTCAGCCCCTTCGCGGCCCACCCAATACCTAGGGTTTAGGGTTTAGGGTTTAGGGTTTAGGGTTTAGGGTTTGCGAGCAGGTACTGGAGCAGGTACGCAATGAAAGAAGCGCAAATGTTTGGGGAAACGAAAATGGTGACAGACGCAGCCAAATCCAACTATTGCGAAATCGACCCAGTAGAGCAGTGGGACCTCAGCGAGAAGGTAGGGTTTAGGGTTTAGGGTTTAGTGTTTAGGGTTTAGGGTTTAGGTTTTAGGGATAAGGGTTTAGGGTTTAGGGGTAATGGATTGGTGTATGATCAGCGCGAGAGTCTTAGATATAAGCTGCCGTGTGTTTACCGCGCAACCCCCAAACCCTAAACCCCAAACCCCAAACCCCAAACCCTAAACCCTAAACCCTAAACCTTCTAAACCTTCTAAACCTTCTAAACCTTATGGTATACTATGCAGGCAGCATACGTACATTACTGTGATAACGAAACTATCCATGGACTTGAATTTCCTGCATCGCCGCCGCTGCACGCAGTGAAAGCGAAATGCAGACTTGTGGCGGATTTTGCTTCCAACATCGGCACGAAACCCATCGACTGGAGCTCAATTGATCTCGCTTATGGTAGCTTTATTGTTATAATTTTAATTAAAAATATTAATATAAATAAATATAATTATAATATTTCTATTTTTACGCGGATTCATGGGTGATGATGATGGAGATGACGATGAGGATTTATGATTCGTTCATTATCGATCGTGCTTCAGTGATGATTATTCATGTTTCATAATTCATTAAAAATAATTCATAAAAAATAATTCATAAAAAATAATTCATAAAAAATAATTCATAAAAAATAATTCATTAAAAATAATTCATAAAAAATAATTCATTAAAAATAATTCATANTAATTCATTAAAAATAATTCATAAAAAATAATTCATAAAAAATAATTCATTAAAAATAATTCATAAAAAACACTTCATAATTCATAAAAAATGATTCGTAATTCATAATTCATGTTTCATAATTCATGTTTCATAATTCATTAAAAATAATTCATAAAAAATAATTCATAAAAAATAATTCGTAATTCATGATTTATAGTTCATAATTCATAATTCATAAAAAATAATTCGTAATTCATGGTTCATAATTCATAAAAAATAATTCATAAAAAATAATTCGTAAAAAATAATTCGTAATTCATGATTCAAAATTCATGGTTCATGATTCATAATTCATGATTCATAATTCATTAAAAATAATTCACAATTCATGATTCAAAATTCATAATTCATAATTCATGTTTCACAATGATGATTCATGATTCATGATTCATAATTCATGATTCATGATTCATGATTCATAATTCATGATGAAGCGTAATGATTGATGTTTCATGATAGATGTTTCATGATAGATGATACTTGAGTGATGAGTGATATTCCTCATGATTCATGATGATGGTTTTTGATTGATGTTTCATGTTTTATGATGATGCTTGGGTGATGATATGCTAGACTCATAATTCATAATTCATGATTCATAATTCATGTTTCACAATGATGATTCAAGATTCATAATTCATGATTCATAATTCATGATTCATGATTCATGATTGATGTTTCACAATGATGATTCAAGATTCATGATGAGGATCCATGGTTCATGATTCATGACTGATGATGATGATTCATGTTTCTTGATTTATAGTGGAGCTGCTGCTGCTGCTGCTGCTGCTGCTGCTGATTGCGTTGCTGCTGTTGCTACGGATGGAAGCCTTATGCTCCGTCGCATGCACTGGCAGGCGCAGCAGCAGCAGCAGCAGCAGCAGCAGCAACAGCAGCAGTGGCAGCAGCAGTAACAGCAGCAGGAACGAAGTGTTTTCTCCTCTTCTCTGCGGTGTCTGTGCAGCTGGAGCGCAGAAAAACATCGGGATAGCGGGCGTCACCTTGGTGGTGCTCAATCGAAGCATACTGGGTAAGGGTTTAGGGTTTAGGGTTTAGGTTTGGAGGGGTATATTACACATTGAGCCGTGAACATGAATCCCTTTCCAGCAGAACTCATGCTAGCTATGTAGCTAGCTTGCTACTTAGATGGCTAGCTAGCTAGCTAGCTTAGCAACTAACTGGCTAGCTAACTGGCTAGCTAGCTAGGTACCTATGCAGCTATCTGCCTAGCTGTCTATCTATCTACATCGCTATATAACTATCTACCTCTGCGTTTCTCTCTCTCTGTCTCTCTCTCAATACATCAATCTATCTATGCATGAAACACACTCCATCGGCTTGTTTTCTCCTTTTTTTTGTTCGTTTTTGTTTGTTTTTTTTTTGTTTTTGTTTTTATTTGTTTTTGTATATAGGGAGCGCTTCTTCTCGCTGTCCTTCTGTATTGAATTACTCAAAGATGACGGATAGCCAGAGCTGCCTGAACACGCCCCCATCCTTTAATATATATGCAACAGGCAAAGTATTGAAGCATTTGAATGAAGAAGGAGATTTAGTTTATTGGGACGAGCAGTGCTGCAGAAAGAGTCGTGAGGTGTACAGACAGTGCGATGAAAGCGATGGGTTTTATTCAGCTCCTGTTGCTGCTGCTTTTCGTTCTCGTGTTGCAGTAAGATTTGAAATTGCTGCTCATATGCATGCACTGCAGCAGAAAGAAGAAGAAATAAATTATATAAATACAGAAATACAACAACATGCACATCACCATAAAACACTAAAACAAGAACTTATAAAGGAAGCACAAAATAAAGATCAACAACTCAATAAACTCTTCATCGAAAACGCCGAAAAAGCAAACATGATCTGCCTCGTAAACCCTAAACCCTAAACCCTAAACCCTAAACCCTATGAAACCCTCAACCCTTAAGCCCCAGAGATAAGCTGCAGGCCTCCGTCGTCTCTACCCAAACCCTAAACCCTAATCCCTGAACGCTAAACCCTAAACACAAACCCCACGACTCTACCTTCTCCATCCTAAACCCTAAACCCTAAACCCTAAACCCTAAACCCTCAAGGTGTGCGTTTCGCTGCAGAATGGGCATCGCTCTATGGGGGGTTTGCGCGCCTGTCTATACTCTGGGGTTACTATGGAGCACGTGCAGCATCTCGTGCACTTCATGCAGGTGCCTCTAAACCCTAAACCCTAAACCCTAAACCCTAGACCGGTATTACACCCGCCGTGTTCCTTCTTTATTGAGTTATAAAGCAGTAAACCCTAAACCCTAAACCCTAAACCCTAAACCCTAAACCCTAAACCCTCTCTGCCTTTTACATTGCGTTACAAAGCTTGTGGAGTGAAAATTGCGGTTCAGGAATTCCAAGAAGAACATCCAGTCGAATGATTGAGGTGTACGTACACCGCAGCTCGTGCTGCTGCTGCTGCTGCTGCAGCAGCAAACCCTCCCTTGCATGCACGCATGCACGCCTACCACCAACCCATAACCCTTAAACTCAGGAATTGACCCCTCTTAAACATCTGCAGCTTACTGCTGCTTATGCTGCTGCTGCTGCTGCTGCTGCTGCTGCTGTTGCTGCTTATGCTGCTGCTGCTGCTTATGCTGATGCTGCTGCTGCTGGAGCTCGAACCTGGCTGGTAGCCTGTCTGGGGTGTACGTACACCTGATCCCTTAGCTGTTCGTACACCGCGGAAAGCAGATGCTCGTTCACCTGCTGTTGCTGCTGCTGCCGCTGCTGCTGCTGCTGCTGCTGCTGCTGCCGCTGCCAGGAGAGAAAAGATGGAGTACAGAACTGCAGCTAACCCTCGAGCGCAACCCCCTAAAAAAAAAGACATACACGTCCGTTCCTCTGCAGCTATTTACTGCTGCCTCGTGCTGCTGCTGCTGCTGCTGCTCGCGGGTGCTGCTGCTGCAGCAACTGCGACGAAAACCCCCCATTTGCTGCTCTGGCTCCGCGCTGCTGTTGCTGCTGCATTCTGCTGCTGTTGCATTCTGCTGGTGCTGCATGTTCCTGCGGCGACTGAGTTCTGCCGCNGCAGCAGCAGCAGGCGTCTCCTGCCCAAGCACAGCCCCCATATTTTGTGCGTTATGCTGCAGCAGCAGCCTCCGCCTGACCTTTGCAGTTCTCTGCTTTGCTGCTGCTGCTGCTGCTGCTGCTGTTGCTGTTGCTGTTGCTGCTATTTCTGCAGCAGCAGCTACTCCAAGTAGTTGTGGTTGTTGCCTTAGAGCGGCCTGCCTGCTGCTGCTGCTGCTGCTTCTGCTGCTGCTGCTGCTGCTGCTGCTGCATCTTCTGCAGTAGCAGCAGCAGCACCAAAGTCCTCCTGCAGCAATCTGCGCTGCAGCTGATCAGCAGCAAGACCCATAATGTCTTCGAGTTGAGGTGGTTGTTGGCTGCTGCTGCCTCTTCGTTGGTGCTGCAGTTGCTGCTGCAGCTGCTGCTGCAGTTGCTGCTGCACCGTTGCTGCTAGCAGCAGCAACTCTGGGTGCTTCTGCACGTCCTCTGCGAGCTGCTTCATCGCATCTGTTGTTAGAGCTGCAACAGCATCTCCTATTTGTTCTTCAGGTGACACCGCATCCAGC